AGCAAATACTCTTCCATCCATCTGAGATTCACTAAGAACCAAACTAATCTTTTATGGATTTTTCCCCTTTTCCAAGTATCTAAAGGACCTAGAAACCCCAGATCCACTAAATTAGCTCTTCACTTCCAGTTCAGTTAGTCTGGTTCTTTCCTGGTTCTGTCAGCCACATCACCAAAGCAGTTCCAATTCCAGTTTTTCAGCACCTTTGTAACTGACTTGTGCAATTTCCATAACTTCTGCCACTCATTTCCTTCAGTAGGTGTTTTCCAAGCTGATTAAATGACCTTGAGAAAATCCTAATGCTCAGTCCATACATTGAAAAATCTGAAGGTAGATTTTGGTTTGGAGGTTGATGAAGCTATGGTTAGAATCAGAGGCCTATGATCAGAACAGGTGAAAGTTAAATGTGATATAGAAGTTAGCAAATACTCTTCCATTCATCTGAGATTCACTAAGAACCAGTTTAATCTTTCATGGATTTTTCCCCTTTTCCAAGTATCTGCAGGGCCCTGAAAACCCAGATCCACTAAGTTAGTTGTCTTAATGTTGTCAGAAAAGTTAATTATATCATTCATGTTGGCTGGAAAAGGGGGAGCCAATAGTGGAGAAGAAGGCATGGAAGAGGGCTTGGTTTGATTGGGGACCCTTTTGGTGGGTGGCTAAGACCAGCTTTGTTCTGGTCTTGGCTCCCCAAGGCCTAGTTTGGCCTCTCCAAAGGTGGGTCAAAGGGTCCATGACCAAGGTGCCATGTGGCTTCCCCTATGGTTGAGTGTGTGGTTTTTTTTCCTCTAAGGCATGGACTTGACTTGGTTTGGCTTGTAGTGTCACCCACATGTCTTGGTGTGTTGGTCTTGGGTCATTGGCAACTTTTCTCCATTGATTGACTTATCTGGTGCAGATGAGACCACAAACACAAAGGTAACCTCTGTATCCAAAGCATCAAATTGAATGTGGATATGTAAAAATTGTGAATGATTAATTAATACCTTCCATGTTGCTTCTTTTCTACAAAACAACCATATTTTGTTACTCATATTAGCATGTGAATGAAAGCCAGAAAATTTTCTTTTGATTTTATTCTTGATTGAAGAGGTCAAAGGTTCTAGGATAGCAAAACAGCAAAATTGATGGATTCTATTGAGATTGGAAAGTATGTTAAGGGAATTAGAATCAGATATTCCCCTAATATTCCAGCATAAGATTTTAATCATTATGAAGTGGTTTGGAAGCTCAACCCTAATATTCCAGCATAAGATTTTAATCATTATGACGTGGTTTGGAAGCTCAAACTTGCTCAAACCACTTATTAGATTATCATCCATTAGTTTTTTTAGCTCCAAGCTCCCTTTCTTCATTCTTCTGCTCTTCTTTATTTCCCATTCTTCTTCTAAATTGTCTTTGATAAGTTGTAAGTTGTTCTCCTCAGCAGAAGGTAGTACAATATCTGGAACATCTGGGTAAGCTGTATCGAAAGGAAGCTCTTCCACCCTTGTATTTTGTAAATCTTGTGTCTCTTGCTGTTGCAAATCCTTGTTCGGCATGGATGGGTGGAATGTATAAATGTCAGCTCTATCAAGTTCAATTAGCTGTGTCTCCCCTATTGGGCAATCCAGTCCTCCTCCCTGAGATGTACTTCCAGGAATCTGTCTATCATCATCTTCCTTAGTCTCTAGGTTCAGATTGAGTTCAGTGTTCCTACCTATATCACTGTTGTTGTTAATGTATACCCTTCCAACTATGTTGTGAGCATGATCCTCATCTGGTTGTATAGGAGATGCATCAAAGTGAACAGGAGGAATAGTTCTTAATTCAGGGTGCACTCTGAAGCATTTGTCTTCAGAATGCCCAAACATTCTACGGGCTCCGCAGTAATAAAGCTTTTGCTCCATCACAACAGGCTGCCAATAGCCATTGTGAGCTGTGCCAATCCAGATCTCATCTACTACAGGCAGTGTTATATCCCTTTCAATCAATATTCTTGCAGTAGATGGCCTTGTGAGGTTGAAAGTAGAGACATCAAGCTTCATAGGTCTGCCTAAGGTGGCTCCAAGTGAGAAGAGAATTTGATGGTTGAATAGGTGGAGTTTTAAACCAGGGAACTTAAATCAGATGGGAACAATGGGAGGCTCCTGACTAGGGTCAAAGTCAGGAGATCACTTAAGGATTTCATATATTTGTCATCAATCTTAATATATTTTTTAATGAATATTTTAGCATAGTCCACTTCTTTAGTGAGTT